GGGAAGGCGAACTGGAGCATGGTCCCATTAGCAAAGGGGATTGGATTAAGATCCTGAATCTGGGCGTGTTTTAGGCAGCGATGCAGAAAAGGAGTTCAATCTCGATTTTCTGCACTTGTCCACAAACGCGGCCAAGTTAAGGGGTTCAATCCAATTTCCCGATTTTATTTATTTATTTATTTCTATTGAATTCGTCAGGTGCTGCCACGTTGCTCTTGACCAACTTCTTTTTGTTTTTGTTTTGTTTTTGTTTTTGTTTTCGTTTTTGTTTTTTGTGTGTCATCCTTACGCAGGGGCCTGGGGCCTGGACCCACTAGCAAGGTATTCTACCACGCCGTTCAGGATTTCGATCACCTGTAGCATAGAGTGACTCAGTACGGCCTGGTAGTTTCCGAGCAGGGACTGTAAAGATGCCCGCCTCCCGTCCAATGAGATGCGTCGAAAAAAGAAAAAAAAAAAGTTGGACTAACTTGGACATGATAGCTCGTGGCTTTGCGTGGGCGGGAAGTCTGGATTTTATGGGCTCTAAAAGGGGAGGGGGTGATTTCCAGACTTCGTTTTTTTTTTTTTTTTGGTTCTGAGAAATAGAACTTGAAATGTGAAATTCAGATATCGTGGTGGGTCTGACAGGAACGCTTCCGCATCTGTCGGATGGCCTGTTAGAGGCATCATGAGATATATGGGGATGAATGTGCCCCTGGACCCACTAGCGAAGTATTCTATGACGTGTGACACAATTTTATGGTTTTTTGGAAAATACAAAGTGATTTTTTTATTTGCATGAATGGATCGTTTTCTGATTTAAAATGAATTGAAATAGGACATAAAACTATGAAGAACAGCTGTGCACCCCAATTCATGGGTTGGTACGATCTCCTTCACGTAAGTCTTCATAGTGATGTACCGTGGCAATAAAATGTGTCCACGAACACATTCACGAGGATGAACAAGTAACGAGTATTGGGATACATTCCTCGCAATGTACCTCATGATGCCTTTAGCAGGCCATCCGACAGACGCGGAAGCGTTCCTGTCAGATGCACCACAATATTCGAATTTCACATTTCAAGTTCTATTTCTCAGAGCCAAAAAGAAAAAAAAACGAAGTCTGGAAATCACCCCCCCCCCTTTACAGCCCATAAAATCCTGACTTCCCGCCCACGCAAAGCCACGAGCTATCATGTCCAAGTTAGTCCAACTTCGTTTTTTTTTTTTTTCGACGCATCTC